GCCAGCGCCGGTTCAGCACGGCCGGGCGCCCTGCTCCGCTCCGCCTCCCGGGGCTGCCGTCCCGCCCTCGTGTCCGCGGAACCGCGCGAAAGGTCCCGAGGCCGCCGCGGAAACGAGCACCTGGCCCCCTCCCCTCCACGGCCCGGGGCTCTTCCCGGAGACAACTCTCTGGTGCGTGTTAACATCCCCTTGTGTCAAGCTGGGACCGGACCTTTCCCTACAGATCACATGCCAGACAAGCTAGGCGAGAGGGGACAACATTTGAGCCACAAGCCAAAACAGGTGATTCAGTGTTTTCCTTCACTCTTATATACTAAAGGACTAGGAATGCAGGTGCATGAAGCACTCCCTGCTAACTTCCAACCCTTCCACTTTGGGGCAGTAGTAGTGTGATATCTTCAAATGAAGAAGAAGGAAAAAAATACCAGAAATGTGTTAGAAAAGACCAAAGAAATCTAACCATGCTAATATAAAGGTATATTGACAGCTGTTGTACCAGAATTCATCTGCCAGCCCAGGACACTATTCATGAAAAATACCATCTAGAAGGGCCAACCAGCCCATCGCAGCATGAACTGCAGGAGCTGAAGCACAGCAGGCCCTGGCAGCGGGTGTCCACACCACCGACCAAGAAGGGGACACAGCCTGATCCAAGGGAAGGAGCTGAGCAGAGTTCTGCTGCCACCAAAGCCAATCAGATAAAACCCACTCAAGCCAAAAGGAACAGCAAAGAGGGTTTTCTCTGGTGTCCCTGACCTCAGTCCTGCTTCTTGCTGCCCTAGGAGTAGTGCAAAGGGCAAGGAGTGTCAGGGAGCACAGCAACCACTGAGGCTTACTCATAGGCGTGTGGGAAGAGATTCTGCTTGTGGACAGCTAAAGGTTGCCAGAGGGAAAAGGGAGAACTTGCTTCTCCTTCACCTGCCCAAACACCCAAGGCAGCGGGCAGCAAAGGAGGGACACTGAGAGGAGATCAAGGTTCCCAAACTGTGTGGAGCAAGGAGAAGCAGCAGCCAGCAAAGAGAGGAGTGTGGTGCAAGTTCTCAGGATGCCTGAAGACCGGCTGTTCACATCGCTGGGCTCTCAAATCATGCAGATGGGAAACAGATTAGAGGCACGTTGATCCTTTTTGAGAGGTAAATTAGACCTTACTCTCTAAAAGAGTACAAAGCACTGCATTTCTGCAGTATTATCTGCACAAAGCAACAAGAGACAAGCTGACAGCAAATGCTGAAGCAAGAGGGATCCAGCCTGGTTCAAACCATTGAGACCAAAGACATTCTGAAACCTCTCAGAAATACCAATAAAAACTGTGTCCACACATGGCACAATAAACACTGTCCAAGCTCTAGGGCTACCGAGGGCCTCTGGCCAAATGATGCCCTTGATAAAGCTCTGGTGATGACGCACCCCCTGCCCAACAGAAAACAGCAATTATTAGCGACAGTTTTTCTCTATTCACACCAGAGGTTAGACCCTCTTCTACAGCCTCATGCTGCCCACAGCTACTGCAAGCTGAGAGCCAGGTATGGGGGACACCAACATTCAGACCGTGAATTTTTACTTAGACCGAGAAGGGCATATAGGAGACTGATGATCAGCACATCCAGACTACAGTAGCCTCGTCAGTTCTTCTTGCTGCTAGGGTTCTTAGTGTTGAACAGACTGACTTTGTGGGCAGATGCCACAGACAGAGAAGGAGACTCGAGCTTGACCTTATCCAATAAAGTCTTCTTTATGGCTGCTGGGGAGATCGTCTCTTGGTCTGCCAAATGCTGTAGCTCCCTGCAAGGCAGTGGGGGGAAAAACTCTCGTTAGTTATAGCAAAAGGAAGAGACACAGGAGGGGTGGACAAGAGTTTGGTAGCTGCCTCAGGACTTCCTACGCGCCCACCTTGTCCGGATGCAGGAAGCCTCCACGGCATTAATGAGGAGCGAGCGAAAACCGCCACTCTCCAGAAAGTGCAGGGCATGGATGGTGGCTCCCCCGGGCGAGCAGACATTGTCCTTCAGCTGACTCGGGTGCTGCTCAGACTCCAACAGCATTCTGGCAGCACCCTGTAGCAAAGAGAAGAACAGGTGTCAAAAACTGACTGAGGAAACCTATTGTCAGATACTCCTGTTCTCCACTGCATAGAGCAGCACCTAAATACTCACAGTGGGCAAAACTGGTCTCCTGCCTCACAGTCATTAGCAGACTGCCAGAGTGCTCTTCTGAGCTGAAAAAGCCTGCGGGGGAGTCCTGGTTCTCCTGGCCCAGGCTCCCACAACACCATCAGCACCAGCAGGTATCTGCGAACACTTCCTCTATTCCCTCACCAGGAACTTGTGTCCAGTCAAATGAAACACATTTAAGTAAATTCAGTACAATGACTGAGATAATTTTAAATCATGAAATACAGAATCCTCTGCACCAAGCAGGCACAGACTCGGTGTATTTTGGAAAAGCAGATACTGACCAGCAGCGCCTGGGCTCCAAGCCGAACGGCCAGCCTGCGGGGAAGTCCCATCTTCACTCCTCCATCTGCCAGGGCATCCAGGGCAGTGAATGCCTGAGACCACACAGGGAGTAAGTGACTGAAAGTTACTCTCTACTCCAGAGCTAATGTTCTTAGGGAAAAAAAAAGAGACTCCAAGGCCCTAGGATCACAGTATGACTCCTACTGCTTACAAGGACTTGACAAATGTCACCTCCAGTCAACCAGTTTCCAGGTAAGACTGCTCCCCTTTACTGCAGAAGTATCGTACCCAACTTCCCCCCACCACTTCCAGATGATCTGGGGGGAGTAGGAGAAGTCAATTTCCAGATCACAGTAACAACATGTCCTGGTTCTGCAACATGGGCACATGGGCCATGCACACTGCCTATGGACTCCAGATTCATGAGATGGTTTATGGACTGTCAGTGCTGACCCAAACTGTTATGAACTGGACGCCTGGATTATGCATTCTATTGCAAATATAAGTAATTATAAAAGCAAGAATTCACAAGCTGATACAGCACAGACTTTCACCGCATGCAAAGCCCACTCCTCTCTCCATGAGTGTCACAAGTTGAGGAAGCAGCACATACATACGCAGGGCCACTGCCACTAAGCCCCGTTACAGCGTCTATCAGGTCTTCCTCCACTTCGGTGCAGAAGCCTACACTGGCCATCAGCTGTTCCAGGAGCTTCCCATCCTCCACATCAGCGTGAGTCCCAGTGGCATAGACTGTAGCACCTTCCCGGACAATCACAGGGGTGTTGGTCATGCACCTGATCACTTTTGGTGTGGGGCAAAAGGTGGACAGTTTCTTGCGGTAGAAAGTAATTGGAGATAGAAAGAAAGAAGGAACAGAGGGAAAAGGAGTTTTAATGTATATTTGTCATTCTAAACAGACTGCTTAGGACGAAACTCCCAAGTAATGTGAATAGAGGGAATAGAGAGGGAATTCTGCATCCCAGATTTCCTGCTTTGAGCTAAAGTGGACAAATTTTAAGGGTAAAGTCTGCAGAAGTGCCACCAAGCAGGGAGGTGGGCAGAGCTGCCACTGGGCGTAAAACCTGCAGCACCTCTGCTCCCACCTGCAAGTCTCTACACAAGCTCCCGCAGACACCTAGCACAAACCCTGCGGCATCCTAGGTGAGCTGACCCACCCATGGTGAGAAAGAGAAGATGCTGCAACATTTTGCCTAATAGGAGAGCTTGCAAAGAGACTACCTGATTCTAGCTTATTCTGACCAGTGCAGCTGAAGAGGCCCAAGGAGGTCAGCTGGCTGCAGCACAGACTGAGCCTTGCTGGCAAGCACCTGTGGATACCGTGCTGATCCCAGAGGCTAGAAAAGGGGGTGGGTAGGAGGCCAATCCAGCACCGTGCGGGACAGGGAACATTCCTTGTGCCCTGGGGACCGTAACGGAGGGCTCCACATACACCGGGTGCCAGTGGGCAGCCTCGGCTGCGCCTCACCTTCTCGATGGAGCTGATGGTGACACCGGCTGCGCAGGAGACCACTATGTGGCGGGCCTCGATGTCGGGGCCGACCTCGTCCAGGATGAAGGGGATGATGGGGGGCTTCACAGCCAGGAAGAGGACGTCGCTGCTCTTCACCGTGTCCTTGTTGCTCACCGTGAAGTTCACGCCCATCTTCTGCAAGGCCGAGGAAGGGCGGCAGCGGTGCTGGCTCTGCTCTGCACCCCGGCCCGCGGCACCCGGCCCACGCACTCACCCGCAGCCCGCTCACGGTGGGCAGCTCGGTGTCCGGGGAGCTCGCGGTGATCTTGTGCGCCGCCAGGATCCCTGCGGAGCACGGCGCGTTGAGCCCCGCGCCCGGGCGGGCCCCGCGCCGGCCCCGCCGCTCCGCACCCACCCGCCGCCGTGAAGCCCCGCGCCAGGGCGAAGGCGAGCTGCCCGGCGCCGATGAAGCCCACGCTCATGGCGCCGGCAGCGCGGCTCGAGTCGGTTCGGTTCGGTTCGGTTCGGTTCGGTTCGGTTCTACTCTGTTCTGGTCGGCTCGGCTCAGGTCCACTCCCGCCGAGCTCGCCTGTCACCGCGTCGCCGCCCACGTGGTCGCGCACCGAGCGGACTGCGGCAGGGACGCGTGGCAGCGGGGCGGGATGCCGCACCTCAGCCAATCAGCGAGCGGCAGGGCGGGACCGCACTGGGCGCTCCGCCACTCAGGGACGAGGGGAGGGGCCTCCGCCTCAATTCGCTCCAGCTATTGGTGCAACCTGTGTTTGGTGTTGCATCATTCGCCACCTACGGAGGCCGCCCGGTGTCAGCCCAGCGCGGGGCGCTCGTGTCTGGGCAAGGCGGCGCCACGAGGCGGCGCCCTCACCCCGCGCGCGGGCGCCGCGGTGCCTGCCGGGATCTGTAGTCCGGCGGCGCCGTTCTGGAAGGTTCGGTCTTATAGCCCCCCCCCCCCCCCCGCCCAGCGTGGGCACCGCCATCTCGCTTTATTTGGCTCTTCGCATAAAGACTTGTGCACCTGCGGCCCTGCAAGCTAGGGGCATCCACAGGGGCGCCCCATAACCAGGGCTGGGGCACAGGGCAGGGGCTGCAGAGAACGTACACAGATCAGTACACTGGTGAGGGCCTCGACGGGGCAGCGGCAGCCAAGGAGTCACCATTCCTGCCTCCGTGGCTGCCCTTGGGCCGGCTGCACCATGCAGTGCCCCCGGGCAAGGGGTGTGGAGGGTCTGCGCGGGCTCCTGCCTCGTGGCACCACCGCCCGTGCCGGGACAGGCGCTTCCCGGGAACGGAGCCCGCAGCGCCTGCCCTGCCGCCCAGCGCCCCGCGGCCGCCCCATGCCGCTGCCTCCTGGCTGCCGGGCACGGCTGGCAGAGCCGCCCCCGAGGGCTGCATCCGGCCCTGATTCCAGACATTCCGCACATGTTTCTGCCGCCCTTTGTCTGATCCAGCGTTGGAATCTCGCTGCTGCTGGGGTTTCTCCAGGAGGAATGCGGGTGGTGCATTTCGGGAATGGCTGCAGCCGGTGCATTGGGTTTAATGGGCACAGCAGGTGTGAGGAAGGACTCTCTCAATCCGCAGGGTGCCTTTGTGTTTCCTTTCCAGTTCCTTTTATCCTGCTAGCATCACCCTTCCCCTTCCCACCCCTTGCCTGCCCTGCAGGTGGGTGGTGGGAGCAGGTTGACGAACTGGTTCTGCTCCCCGGGAGGGAGCCCCAAACCGCTGCTTTCCTGCCCATGCAGACGCCTGTTTTGGTGGCGAGTGACTCATGCAGCCTTTCATTCTTCAGTGATGGTTTTCTCACTTTCTTGGAATTACCTGTGGATTCCTGAATGAGGAGATTTTCCTATGCTTGAACCAGGATGGAACTTTTATAATCCAACAAACATAAAAGTTATATTAGCAGGATTAACAGGCAAATTACTGGCAGCAAATGCCCCAAGTCTTGTAAAAGAGAAGGGTCAACACCGGAGCCTCCAGGGGCTCCAGAGTGGGGCCGTGTTCATCCCTTCTGCAGCAGGAGGTCCAGGGAAAGCAGCCCCATCCGTGCAGGTCCACTCAAAGGAAAGCTCTGCAGTAATGGGCTCTATAGACACCAAAACACCTTGAATTACCTAACCAGGCAGTGTTTTCCTTATGTATCTTTTTTCCTTTTCTTTTTTGTTCTTTTATTGATAGAAATAAATCTCCATTTTTCTCCTGAGGATGAAGTTTCTAAAACATTGTCTTTGAAGGATACTGAATCCTAGTGATCTTCAAAAGGGATACATATATAGATAGATAGATATGTATATAACCTTTGTGTATATACATGTGTATGTGTATGTATATATATTTCTGGTTGGGATCCAGGAGGGCCTTTGTAGGCTGACTGCAAATACAAACCCATAGATCCCAGTGAATTTAGGTACATCCTGATATTAGTGTATCAAAAAGTTGACAGTGATTTGTGTTTCAGAAATCTTGTTTTATGGCTGAAAAGTTATTTGATCATGATTTATTAATTAAGGGGAAGGATAATAATGGTCTTTTTTAAGTTGGATCCTAACAGGATTGGTTCTTAAAGTCATATTAAGCATCTATCGGATGTTCTCTGCCCTAGATTGGGTAATCTCATAGTTTCCAGTGGTTAGGGCATGTTTTAACCACTCAAGCATGAGGTTTAGATTTTTTTTTCCAGATGAGTGGATTGTTGTCCACAAGATCTTCTTTTGCCGTTTTGACCATGCTAACATTTTTTGCTCTGTCTTTGGCTGGCAGATGAGAAAGCTAAATCTGAACACACTGTTCTTGGCAATGATTTTTCTTTCCACTGCTACAGTCAGCGGTAACATAATTTCTATTTCCTTCTTGTTGTTAAGGCACTGGATTTTACCGCAATTGTCTCCCAGTTACCTATTCCTGTTGGGTCTTTTTTTGTGCCCTTACTATTGCGTAATTTGCATCGCAACAGCTGAGAATTTTGTCATATTCCTGCTAATCATTCCTGATCCCGGCAAAATCATCATAGTAGACAGCTAAAGGGAGCGTTAACCAGATGAGGAGCTTCCTGGCTGCCTCCACCGCACACAGGATTTGGCAGCGTCATCCGGCACCTGCCGCCGACTTCCCTCTCCTGGTCTCCACCAGCCTCTTCGTAGCTGCCACCGAGTCCTGGGAAGGGGCTTTCCTCAAGCAGCATTCCCTCTGTAGATCTGAACTTTGTGACACAATCCGTGATGATTCACACTCACCTATTTTAATTTTAACATGCAACAAAAAATAAATAATTTCTAGGTGTTACACATCTTAAATTGTCCAGTTTGAGTTTTTTTTAAAGGATAATTCATAAATGTTCAAAATTTCTTCAGCATAAAATTGCTCTGTTTGTACAATGCCTACTTAATGCAAATGAATTTCCTCTTCCAAATTCAGAATTTTAATTTATATAGTCTCTTAATACATTTGGGCTTGGGGATATGAGAAATAAAGCTCTGTAGTCCCTGCTTCAGACCTGCACCAAATACAGTTGGTCTTGCCCCAGAAAAGCTGACCATCCTCTTCCTGTACCATCTTCTGCATTTCCTGCCCTTGATGGGAACTTGTGGAAGAGAAAAGTCTCCTGGAAGCGTGTTTTGTTCATTCCTTTTATTATAGACAGTGATTCTTGCCCTGTCTCATGGGCTAACAATTGCAGTCTCTAAAGGCTGCTTCTAAACCAGGGAGCAGCACAACTACCAAAATCCATCTGTTCCAGCATATTTTTCCGCTGCTTTTCAAACCCACAGGAAGCCCCGATGAGCTGCACATTTCCTTCCCTTTCCCTGAGTGACTCTGCTACGAGGAATGGCAGTCAACGCCGCCAAGGCAGACTCGGATATACGGTTTTCTGGGGCTACATTCAGGCTTCATAAAAGGAAAAGTAAGTGGAAGTGTGTTTTCTGGCAGAAAGCAGGCGGCTGTGTCTGCTGAAACCCTCGCTCTGCCGAGAACAAGGTGAAAACACACAAGTCTCGGAGATACAGTCATCTGCCATACAGATGTATTTTGAATTGGTTATAAAATAAATCTTGCTTCTGAAAGTCAGCCTCTCCTAGACTTTAATTAAACCTAGCCCGCCTGCGTGCTTTCTGCACAAGTACTCAGACTGCTTTGGTTTCTTGCTGGATCAGAAATGACAAACAGTTTTTCCTATTAAGTTTGAAATCTGAGCCATGCTATGCAGGACTTCAAAGAGGGTGTTTTGTCAGGGATGGGTCAGAGAAATGCAGCTGGTTGGTGACGCAAAACGGTCGGGAACACTAGACCCTGATCTGGTCCGAGGCGGTGCCGTCTTTTTTTCCGGCAAGTTTGGTGTTTTGTACAGAGCTGCGAGACCAGTTCATCTTTGCATCCCCTTCCTTACCCCCTCCAAAACCCATGTTCACTCAAACTTCCAGAAAACAAACCAAAAACACGTTAATGCCAGGATAAAGAAAAAGCAGTGCAGGAAGCAAGAAAGAGCACGTGAGAAGCCACATTCAGGCCCTGCTGGAGTGAGGACTGCAAATGGCACGTGGATACTTTGCAGTTTGGTTCCATCCTGCAGCCTTTTTCTGGGCAGCAGAGCCCCAGTTTTGCAAAATTTAATTTCTGCAATGTCTCTGCTGCACAGGAATATCCCCTGCTTCCTACCAAGGTGCATGCCTGAGGGTTTTCTTGCTTTGTGCTGACAAGGGAGTAGGGAAGGAAAGGCAGGGACTGCTAATCTTCAGAATAACATCACACACCTATGGTGTTCTGCCCAGAAATATCCTGACTATAATCTCCCACACTTGCAAGCATTTCATGTCTCACCACATAGTACAAACCAACCCAAACTATGAAGGACCATTTTCTTTGTCCTTAGGACTTTCAGCTTTCTCACTCCCCAGGTAATCCCTTGATTACAGCTCAGTGTTGCTGGCAGTTTCCCAACCCCTTGTGCCTTTCCTTAGCATTTGGCTCCACAGTCCATGGGTTTGCACGCCCGTCCCCTCAGTCAGCACGTCCATGCTGGGGAGGTGGTGGGCTCTTCTGCACACTGAGCCCGTCATCTCCGCTGGGTTGCAGATGCTGAAGCCCATACAGAGTGACAGGGGAAGCGAGTTGCTTTCCACGATGGTCCACGCCCTCCCCACACAGCAGGTTGCTCCTTCGCTGGGCCAGTCTCAAGGTGCAAGTCAGGCTCAGATTCCCCCTCGAGCGCAGCTCTGCCTGCCGAGTCCCTCATCGCTTGTGTTGCGGCGCTTGGTGGCTCCTCTGCAGCCGATGGCTACAGGTGGGAGACGAAGCGGATGCGCTGGGAGTAGGCCAGGTCCACGACGTACAGCAACAGGTTGACGTAGGTGAAGATGGCGATGACCAGCTGGCTGTCCCAGGGGCAGCGGCCCTTGGCGCAGAGCGCGGGGCGCCTCGGGGAGCCGTACTTTCTGTCGAAGCAGAACACCGGCCAGATGACCGCGGCACTCACGTACAGCAGCACGGCCACGAAGGTATAAACCACCACCGAGCGCTCAAAGGGAAAGCCCAGCGTGGCAGTCTTGCCCGTGACACTGAAGGCCACCACCACCACTGTCACCACAAAGCAGAAGCTGAAGACAGCCACGCACCACTGCGTGGCCACGTACTTGCTGTACTGGCTGTCGTTCACCAGCGCCCCGAAGATGATGCAGGCCACAAAGGCCTGCACGATTTTCAGGAGGCCGGAGACCGTGGCCATGTAGCTGGCGACTTGTCCTGGCTTGGCCCTGGTCAAGAACACCTCCATGGCGTAGGCGAGGAAGAGGAGGCCCGCGAAGACGCTGGCGGCGATGCGGAAGTCCCTCACCTCACAGCCGATGGGGTAGCAGCCGAGCTGCACGAAGTAGAGCGGGTAGATAACGGCAGCGGTGGCAGACATGAGCGTGGCCAGCATGGCGAAGGCTGCGGTGAAGTTTCCCCAGGAGATGTGCAGGCAGCTGTGCAGGCGCGTGAACTCACAGGCGATGATGAAGACGGTAACGGCGAAGCAAAAAGTCCAGACAAACATGCAGAAGGTACCATAGGCTGCACTGAACCCACCCTGGTGGGCAACCAGGCTGAATGTAGTGCAGCCAAACACCATCTGCAGGAGACGGGCTACCCCCACCGGGGACGTCACCGCAGCCGTGTGCAGGTACGGCCCTCCCGTGCTCTCCATCCCCCTGGCAGCCCCCAGCCCACGCACCTGCAGCCCGGGAACCTGCTGGCGGCTCCGGCGCCGCTGCTTGGCCTGAGTCACACCAGACGGAGGAGCCGCAGCCCCGGGGGCCGCGCGTGACGCGGCCGGGGCAGCCTCTCAGCTGCCTGTGTGGGGAGGCCGCGACAGCTCTGCCTCCCGCCGTGTCCCTGCACCGGCTCCGCCGCCTCACGCCGTCCTTGTGGTGTCCCCTTCCCCGCACGGCGCCGCGAGCGGCAGCTCCTGCCGGCGGCCAGGCACTCAGTCGGGTCCAGCTCTGCAGCTGTAGCTCCGCGCTGGCGTTGCAGGGTCCCAGGATATATAAATAGGTGCTATATTAATAGTGCTGGAGCGGAGCGAGTCCTGCCCCCCGGCTCCCCGCATGGGTGTTGGTTACAGGGAGCCGCCGGTGCTGCCACAGCCGCTCAGTCCCCGGAGCACCGCAGCGCTCGCGGCCGGTGCGGCGCTCCGCGCTGCGGGAGCAGCAGCTGCAGATGGAGCATTTAGAGGCCGCATCGGGAGCTGACTCATCTCCCTCCATACAGGCAGCAATATAGTTATTTAACTGCTGTGAAAGGCCCTGCTGGGCGCAGGGCACCAGTGAGAACAGGTGACTCCTTTGGAGATACTGCTCTCACTGTCTCCTTTTAACCCTCCTGACTCTGCTTTATGTGAACAAGTTATTCTTGTATCTTTGGGTGCCAGAAATAAATGCAACTGTCAACATGAGAACGCTTTGATATACTTAGCTCAGCTTTGCAATACAAATGTCAGTATGGATGATCAAACCCTTGTTCCTCATTAAATCAAAGCTCTTCCTTTTTTTTTCCAGTCATTTTTGGTATATGTTTTTCCCAAACATGGTATCTACTTAATCGTCTCTTAATTTTAAAAGACCTGAATAACATTTCCACTGTAGTTTCACATTGGGGAAAGTGAGCAATGCAACTTCGAGACGTCCTTCAGCTCCCCCTTAGCGAGCCCCGGGCTGCGGCGCTCGGCACCCGCGCCCAGGCAGGAGACGTCGGCTCGGGGCCCGACCACAGGCACTCGGGAGGCTGCACGGCCCCCGGCCCAGCCAAGCACCATTCCCCTCACAGCTCCCTGCTCCGGCTTCCCGCATCACAGGTGCCATCCAGGCCTCTCTCCGCTCCAAGAAGGGGAGGCCGCGGAGAGCAGGAGCAGAGGCCTCCTTTCTGTGGGAGGCACCGGCAGAGGGCAATGGCACCCACACGGTGCTCGGGACTTTCCGTCTTACCTCTTTTGCTGTGGTCTCCATGTGGCAAACAGTGCCAAAGATGAACTTAGAAGCGCCAGGTTTGCAAAGACTTGGGAAATTTGTATTTATTGCACAAGTTTAAGGAGAAGTACAGAACTGGAAATTACCTCCTGGGTTACAGATTCCATTTTCCAGCTACTACTCACAGCAATGTTATATAATCTAATAAATTTATCAAGGTCCCCCCTTAAAAACATCTCTGAGACAGCCTTGCTCCCTGCTATACTTTTTGCAGGGCCACACAAAGCTGAGCATGTGGCTCCTGATTTCTAAGCACCCTTTTTCTCCCTCTTTGCAAGGTAAACAGGATATCTTATATCCCTCCCATCCACCTCCCAACACTCCTCACCTGTTCTAGGGTAAATTAACCTTTTAGAAACTGGTATCCCCAGTGGCAAGATACCGAGTATCTGAGGACAGCAGTTTCCCTCAGAGTCTCCCACTGATGAACTCCCACTGGGCAGCAGCAGCCGTGGCTCTGCTCAAGCACTGGCACTTTGCACTGATTTGCTCTGTTTGACTCCAGCCTCAAACAATTCCGCTTTTCATCAATGTTTTTCCAAGCCTTCTTGGTACTGAGGAAGCCTCTCAACTTTGTGGTATAAAAGTTAAATTAGAACTATCCTACTTTTACACCAATGCAATTAAAATATAGATGATATTGGTAGTCCTTAGATTAATCAGAGGGAAACTCTTGCATCTCAGTTCTGCTTGCAATGCCATTCAGTTTATCTTTAGCTACTTATCTTAAACTGTTACTAACGCCCACCTTGCACAGCTGAAATGCTAATTTCCTGTATGGTGCTGCCCAACTAACTGCTGATTGCTGAAGCCCATCAAAAGTAATTTATAGGAGGAGCATTGATTATTTGGGGGTTTATTAATTTATGACAAGAGATCTCACAAATCTCTTTACCACTTTAACCTGGCAAGACTTCAGGAAATGCTTGTTTTTTTTTGGTTTTTTTTTTTTTTTTTTGTTTTTTTTTTAAGTTTAGGCTCTGATTTTCAGTGTGCCTGTGTGTTGTGTAGCTATTTATACATGTGCAGGTGAATGCAAAGCAGGTGCTAAGCACCTCTATAGAGTGGATATAAATTGCTGCTGCTTGTGCAGGTTTGACTACAACTGCAGTGCAGAACTGCAAAAAGATTTTAGTGCAACAGTCTCTGTGCTCCTACCCTCAGCGATGGTCTCACTGTCCAGCCTCAGCCCTCAGTTCTGTGTCCTCCCCTGCTCTCCTCCCATAAAAACAAAGGGGATTCAGTTCCCTGCGGAGGGAGTGTTCCCAAACGATTACAAAATAAGAAATAGGTGGGTTCTTGTCCTGTGTTCTCTACCTTTTATGCTCCAAGTGCTTCCCGTTTTGAGGCAGGCCAGACAGTCTGATCAAACCAACGATTTCCTGCATTAGAACAATGGCCTTTGCTGTAAAAATAGATGCCTCTCTGCATCTTAAAACACAATGCCCCAGAGAAACCCACAAGTTACAGCCCTCAACTGACTGTGTTGGGCGGGTGAGAATCTCTGCACTTGGACTTCTCATTGCCACCTTTTCATTAGAGAAACAACGACAAGACAAACTGCAAGGGGAACACAAAAGTCTAATTAATATAAAATGTCAGTACCTCCCTCAGCCCTTTCCCAGACACAAGTGATCACAAGGAAAATCCATCCAAATGAGCAGCATATACAACTTTACAAAGACACATGAATGGTTCTCTGGTCAGCCCTTATAAATAGCATTTTACATATTAAAATAAATATGTCCATATTGCCAAAGTAGCAAGAGGTTTCTTCATTATTAAAAAAAAAATATGTTACAAAACAATATCATTTATTTTATATTTCTCGCTTATTTTAAAAAAAGTAATAAAAAGTCATTTTATAAAATAATACAAAAGTAAGTTGAGTACAAGAGTGTCCACCCCTAGTGTGTCCTTGGTTTGTATGCTATGACACATCATGAGACACTGACCTCCAGGAAGTCATGTAATCATTCCTTCACTTCTAGTTGGTCAAAAGAAATCCAGTGCTTGCTTTTTTTTTTTTTTCACCACTTGTATCAAGTCTATGATGTAAAAAAGATGGTGGCAAGGGAAGAAGTCCTAGATCTGGGGAAGGTTCCACTGCTATTTATGACTTTGCTATTCCCTGCACCAGATTGTCTTGTGTAGCACAGGGAGAGGATGTGAATGGCCAGAAGTGAGCTCTGGAGCGTGGAGGTGACGAGTTCCACTCAAAGAGCAAAAGGAAGAAATTGCTCTTTTCTTGACACGTCCTGTATGTGCAAGATTGTGGGAGCCTGTGGGCGTGTGGGGTTCGAGCCTGCGTGAGTGTGGGCGTGCGCCTGTCTGCGTGAGCATGAGGGAGATCAGAGAGGCCAGGGAAGGACTTAGAGCTTCCTCCACCTGCCCTCATCTTTGCCCCTCAGGAGATCTCCTCCTAGTTACCACTGCTGAGCATTCCCAGGAGCTTACTGGGCTCCAGGCCCTGTTGCTGTGCCATCTTCTGAACATCGAAACCCATGTGCATGAGGAACTGGATCACATTCATCTCCTGCCCTGTGAACTGGTCTCTGATGGTTGGGCACGAAGGGTTGCAGTGGGGCCATGGACAACTGTCAATCAGATGAATCGGGCAACCTTTTAGAGGAGTTTTCCCGTTTTTGTTGCTCTCATGTAGGCTCCGATCCCAACAGTGCAAGGCACGGGGTAATGACGTCCCCTTCACTTGGATGTCTGTCCAGTGACTGAAAACACAAACCAAACAGGTTGCATCAGAGAAGTCAGGCTGTCAGAATGGCCAAGTCCCCTGCTGTTCCCCAACAGCCTTTCCCATAATCTGCAAAAACACTCACTTGCGTGTAATGATCTCGTGAGACAGGCAGGCAGGAGCAAAGCTAGCACTGAATAGAAAAAAAAAGGAACACGGATCAGGTCAAGGTAATTTCTGTTAAATAAAACCTTCTTGGCTAGTTAGAGAGTGGAAGTTTTGCTGCCCATGGTAAGAGATCTGGAAACAGCAACAGCTGTTATGGTATAAAGCACAACTAGACTGGAAAGTAACTTAAGGAAAAGGGGCTCCATCCTTTGCGCTGCTCTCACACAAGAAATTAAGTTTCATTAACAATTCCTCCTCTATTGTCTCATCAGCTCTCTGGTTGTTCCACAGTCAATACCTTTCAACACACCCTGCCAGGTTGACTGCCATGCAGTGGATGGCAAGGAGTCTCAGACTTCCTTCACCTTGGAGGTAGGAAATGAAAAAAAACCCACATTCTTACGGATAGTAACAGATTACTGACAATTGCGAACCTGGAACTTATTTTGCACTTACTGAGAAATGAAAAAGGAAAGATTATTAAAGTAAACTACATATGTTTATGACAGAATTTATGACACTTTTTTTTGCAGAGCTCTAAGAAATGTTACCCTTCTGAATAAAGCACTTCTCTTTGAAATAAAAATGTCAGCTTTTCTTAGAGAAAGACTTACGTTACATCCTTCAAGGTGTTTCTCAGCTCCCTACCCAGATTCTGGATGTAGAGCCACTGCCCCTCCTGAACAGGCTGACCAGTTAGGTGTACGTTGTCTACAGTAAGTTGGGCCTCATCAAAGAGCCACTGGACAATGAAGACTGGACCTAGAAGGGCAGAAGAATTAAAAATAAATACTTACAATTAGTTACAAATACCAAAAACCCTAGAATCCACTCTAAAACTCTTCTCATACTTACACCGAAGAGTGGGATAAATCTTGTATCCAAAAAAGCAATTCCATTCCTCTCCCTCCTTAAACTGCAGTTTGCAGCGCTCAGGAACAATGCCATTCCAATATCTAGAAGATAGAGCAGTAACAGGATGAAGGTCATAACGCCGTCTTAACAACTGTCCTTCCACATCCTAGTCTATTTCTGTTCTGGTTATAGTTTCAGCTTATTAATAGCAGAACTTTTCCTTGGCTACTTTGTGCTATCAATGCATTTGACAGCATCTGCAATTACACACATGCTTTTTTCATGTCTATATTTTAAATAATTTTCTTTTCCAATAAAATCACCCAGTAAGCCACCAATATATACAAGTACTTTTTTAAGAATCAAAATGCAGGAAGAAAGAGGAGGATGGCATCTCCTCCTCACTTTGATGTCTTACAAGGAGTTGCTTAGAGTATCTGGTTTTACCTTATTCCTCTCTTGATGGCTTCTGTTGGAGCACAGGTTATGGTATCTATACAGTCGGTTCTGCGATACTGTTTGTTATCCAGGAACCAGCCAGAGTCTGCCAAGCCTCGAACCTGAATCCCCTGATAACCCATCTCCTCCAGCTGCTCTGCCACTCGATCCACGTTCAGGAGCACTCCTGTCCCTCCAGCGCTGCAACGGCAACATTAACACTGCGGTCATGGAGCAGATACTCCTAAAGGAGTGTAGTAAAATGCTCCTAAAGGAGCATTTTATGAGATCTTCCCCCTAGGAACTGCTTTCTGCTGTGGCAGCCTCCTGTTCTTCACAGGAATCCTGTAGGTACCTACCTGCTTCCTGCTAGCAGCAACACTTTTGCAGTGCTGAGACCTTTCCCCACCAGCTCTTTTATAACCTCCTGAATGATCAGTGCTCCCATGAAGGCATATTCACCTGGAAGAGAGAACTCAGTGTCATCAAGCTGTTTGCGGTGAAGGTCAAGTCTTTGCTCTTCTCCACAGATGCTTAAGAAGCTCTGGAAGGGAGCACAAAGCAGGCCCATTTTCCCCACCTATACCCATCGGGTCTAATAAGATACATTCCCCCAATACAAAACTTGCTTCCCCAAAGAACAGAACCTGAATACAGAGGGACTGTTTGTAGTGAAAATAAACTACCTCCAATATACAGTAACATGGACACATCTTTCTACCTTAGTGTTAAGAATTGATAAACTTCAAGAAGGAAAATAAGAGCATATCAGGAAGATGCTGGATCCTTTCCCTATAGATGAAGAATATTCTTATCTTCCTATAAACTAGAACCTCAGTTCCCATTTACTGCATCCTTTCTTATTCCAATCTGTAAAGCCAATTCAGTCATTCAATATTTCAAAACATGTTACCTTTACACACACCACTACCTCCTTTGCACCATCAAAAAGTAATCATCCTTGTTGAAGTGTAACTGTGTTGCAGCAACAATGATAAGAAACTATAAAGTAAAAGGGCCCCTTACTATGACAAAAAGTATATTTCTGGAATCCACAAATGGCTAATTTCTCAACTTAAGATTTCAGTGGAAAGAGATATTGGGCAACAAGTGGTTGGCTCCAAGACCACAGTTCAAAGACCTACTCAGAGAAAAGCATTCGACCTTCTGACTTTTCAATGCCACATCAGAAAGCATCTTAGACCAATTTCTTTCACTCACACCAGTGTACATCAGGAGTAATTCCATTCCAGTCAAAGAAAACTCACTGTAAACAAATGAGAGGAAAACTAAGTCCTTGGTGACCCTCCAGGATAGTATTACATCCAAATACCAATCCTGCTCAACTTGGGAAACCCAACAAACTACATGAGGTAGAACAATTCATTTGTGTAAATCTGGCTTAATCCCAGAGAGGACTCCTTTAACTCTGGACCTCCTGGAGTCTTCTTTAAGCAGACTCCTAGATATATGTTATTGTCAAAATGACAACTGATGTAAAACAAACATGTATGATGATGAGCTCTTCTTTGCTTTCCAAGGCAAGCTGCAGACAGCTTTAGCCTGACATATGATGGCTTTTTTCAAAGGCCAAATATCTTCCTGATACAAGCTTGGAACGAAGGTTATCTCACTTGCCTCTCAGATCAGCAAAGCCAAAGTTGCATGCAACAAGTCACTGATTTGCCGTGTGCTGGATTTTAGAGATTCATCTAAAAGGAATTTAGTACCTCTAATCCTTGCATATTGCATCAGTATAACATCTCTACAAGTAGTGGCTTTGAACTATGTCAAAACAGGCTGGGCTAAAAAGATCAGAATGCTCTATCTGGAAGTCGCTTGATATTCTTTCTTGTCCTTTAGCAAGAAAAAAAGACCATTCTTCATTCATGTAATTTCACAGAAGTCTGGCCATGTCCTTTAACGTGTGATGTCTGTGGCAGCACCAGCCCATCAGCAACACTCACTTTTCTCAGACTTGGAAGAAGCACCACTCCAAACATCACTTGAGCAATAAGGGATGAATCTGCAAAAGAGAAGTGTGTGAGAACCAATGTTCCTTTGACATTTCAAAAGGGGTGAGGGCAGGGTCAAGTAACTGGAAGAAAATTAAACCCTGGTTGAGGGGAAAAGGAAAGAACTTCTCCAGTCAGACACTTGCATCCCTACCTATGCAACAAGGTAACAATTACAACTGTCTTGTGTTTTCTTCCAAAGACTATTAATCTTAGTGAGTTAAATCAAGAAATAATATGTATTTTATTCGTCTAACTGAAGAGCCCAGCTCAGTGAATGGAGCAGAGGATCCAGATTTTGCTCTTGTCTGACCCACTGATGTGGTGGGTGGCCTGCCACAGAGCAGCTCTGCACCTCAGTTTACCATGTGTGACATGAGGAGACTTTGTCTATGCAGGGTGAATCCTGCCACTAGAGGTTTATGCAGTTATCTTCCTATTTTCCTCTCCAGCTTGTGGGATGCAAATTAACATGTGAGTCTGCTGCCATTCCCTTCCATACGCTCACATAAACTAGTATCTTCCTATTTCTCTTCCCTGGACTAGAAGAGCTACTCTATGCTCCTTTCAGATTGGCAAAAGTAAGACATGCTATCAACCCACCACCCATAATACAATTTGCAACTTCACTTATTTGAGAAGACTCTCTGAGCTGTCCCCAGTTTTTCATTAGATCACCACATCACTCCAAGCAGACTAGACTTATGTTTCTCCACACCTTGCCATCACAACTCATTAGATAGACAAACCAGGGCAAATGGGGAAATGCATGCTTTTCCCTTGGAGGCATTAGTCATTTCTATCTCTGCAGCATTCCTGCTGGCCTAAAAGACTGGAGATGCTGCTTGAGAACAAAGCTATTCCCTGTATTTGTCTGTTCTTACACCATGTTGGCATTCCACCAGTGGGGATTTTCTTCTGGTTGCGATGACAGGATCCCAGTTCCTGCAGAAACAAGACATGTGTGCCTATTGCTCTGCGTTTTCAAAGCAACTGTGCCAGCCTAGCACAGGACACAGACCATACCCACGGGAATTAGGTGTGCGCCTCGGCAGGGCGCCGGGGTCCGAGCGGGCGCTGCGGCTGACCCGGTGCCAGGTGGCAGCGTGGGAACTCACCGACTCTGGTGACTGGCCACTGCTTGGAGCTCATGAGTCGCCGCATGGTGTCGAAGCGAGTGTCGCAGTTCTCCCGGTTGAAGCAGTACCAGCCTCCTGCCGGGGACGGGGGATCCATCAGTGCTGCCCTGTGGCACCTGCCAGCACGGGTTGGGCCGGGCAGAGGGGACAGCACATGGGGGGAGACAGCACGGTGCCAGGATGAGGCTGTGACAGTGCCCAGGGGAAGGTGGTAGGGATGGCACCCAGAATGGGATGCACATGGAACCGATGACAAGATGGGGACCGCAGAAGCTCTGCGTCTGGGGTGGAGGCGGGAGAGGCAACGCTGAAGTCCGTCCGACACCACTGGCCAGCGCCTTTTCAGGAAGCCCCCCCAGCGCCGGCTGCCCCGACGGCAGGACTCACCTTCCAGGAAGAGCAGCCAGCGCCGGCTGCCGCGCGACTCCTTCAGGTAGTAGCTGTGGGCGGAAACGGGCGGCGTGAGCGGGGACTCCGCGCGTGGGGCCGCAGTGCCGGGCGGGGGTCGCCGGGCGCGGGGGGCCGCTCGCTGCACCTGTCGCGGCGGCGCCGCAGGCCGCCGCG